GCTATATTAGAATATTCGGTATATAACACATAAGAATCGGTGGATGAGAGGGTAACACCCTCGATTCCCGACAGCCATGAACCGGGATTGAATCCCGTGTTAACATTTTGTTTAATATATGAATAACCTTCACATATTATTCATTGTTGCAATTATCATAAACTAGGTTGCTCTTTTTGAGCGCTACCTAATAAAGTGATTTTGGAACAAGATATATAACACACGGTAAATACTTGCACGCGTACGTGTTAAAAAAAAAGGAGAGTCCATAATCGCTATATCTTAACCTGTTCTTCACGTCCTGCTGCTTCATATGAGAAAATAATATATGATTTTTTTTGTATATTGTATAATCAAAAATTATAATGAAGCCAAATATTTGGAAATATATTTAAAAATTGAGAGCCGTTTTTTATTATATATTTTTCAAACTGCTTCCCCCCCTTTCCTAATTTTTTTTTTCGAATAATAAAAAAAATTTCTCATTAGATATCAAAAATCTAGTAAAGTATTAAAACGTGTTTGTCATATTTATGTTGTTTAATTTACTGAATATACTCTATGAATTTATAGTAGAGATATTTTTTAAAAATTTCTCTCATGTTAAAATCACTCATAAATTTATTGGGCACACGCTATTAATTAGAAAAAAAAACAATTACAAAAGGTAAAAATATAAAGCGCCATAAAAATGCAATTACAAATCAGCAATTTGTGCCGATAATCCCAAGAGATAAAGAAGGGGGAGACAAGTGCGAGTGAAATAGTTTTCATTAATCAATCCGCCACCTCCTCGCCTCGAATCCACGACCGAACTGTCGCCCAGTGCCGCCAAGATAAGATCTGGTGCGAGGTGAGAAGTGCTCGGACACCAGATTAATGAGTGACCATTAGCACCGGACCACAATGCAGGCCGCAATGATAATGAGGTCTTCGGGGAAGTGTTCGGGGTGGTCTTCGGCGGGAGACGGAGGAATACGCGCGAGAAAAAACGACTCCTTAATTGATAGCCGGCCCGGTCTGGGGGGTGGACGGTAAATATTGGGACTGGCCCTCTGATTTATATTGGCCTGGCGGCTTGGTGTAATTTGCCAACGTCCACGTAATTGCACCAATTTCAACACAACACACCAATACTACTACCTACATAACCTCTGCATAATGTTTGCTCAAAATTTATGACAGCCATCGCGCATACTCAAGTAGAGGATTCTCCACAACGCCTCTACACATTACTGACCGTCCTTCTTATAGCGGCTGATTATATGGTGCTCCAAGTTGTCCTTTAACTGGTGAAAATGTCTGTCATTTGTAGAATGATTTAGAATTATTGTTTACACAATGTAATAAATGCGTGAGACCATCCTCGCGAGGGTGACAGCACATTTACCGACACTACCCAGCGAAGGTGGGAAATAGAATTAATGTTTAAATAGTCAAAAACAGCCCTTGTTTTTTTTTTTTATTTTATTACACTAATGAACAAAACAAGGAAGTTGTACCTTTTATAATGTAGAATATATCGGGATTCAGACAAATAACTCTGAAAGATATTTGATACACAGTGACCTTTATTGAAGACACACAAGATAACCAAGTGTGAACAAAATTGCCTGTTTCCTTAAAAAAAAAAAAAAAAAAAACAGAGTACCGATGACATCAAAATATGAAACCTGAGTTTTGTCCAAGAGTGTGCACATGTGTGCACATAAAAATATTAATAATATACTTGAGAATATTATTACTAATTGGTGTACATGTGAATATTTTGAACAACTATATAACCGATACATTAAATACCATAAACAGATAGTAATACATGTTATGCAACTAATGGTGTACAACAAACTTATAGTTAGCTGAACGACAACTTTTCGTTATTTACATTCCCAAATACCTACGAAGAATAGTCTGCTTCTCATAATTTGAATGGATTAGTTATTCATCAAATTGTTTAGTTTGTTTAGTATTTTGTTTAGTTGGAGGTACGCTATTAGTTTGCACAAGTCAGGCTGAAATATCTTCCAATGGCACTAATAAATTCCTTTCTTTTTTGATTTTTCAAAACTTGCTCTTTTTGAACAAAACTTTATAATAAAGTATAAAATAAAAAGTAATTCGCCTATCAAAACAATCCATAAAGAGGGTGGTATATAATGTAGTATTTTTATGGAATTATTTACTAATTATTTAAAAACTAGTATATAAGACAAAAATGTACACATTTTTTACCTTTAGATTTGTGGGCCTTACTTGATTCACAGCCATTAATAGTATTGTAACAATCACAAGATAACAAGAGCGACTTCAAAAAGTGTTTTATTTGTGACATTTTGGTAAGAGCGTTATTACCGAAATGTCACATGTAAATTATCTGATCTTGTTATCTTGAGATTCTTATCTATAATCTAAATTGTAACGTATCATAGTATTGTAACAAGATAATGGTAACTTTTTATCACTCTATTTTTCCTTACGTATAAATATATTTTGATCTTGCATTTTATATTTCTGATGAATCATTTTAGTAACTTCAGAATCATTTCTGAGCTTTTACGAAGCCTCATTGGTTTATCAATTTTTGTCAATTTGAGCCTGTTTATTTGGCCTTTACTGTCAAGGCGTCAAATCTGCGATGTATAGACCAATGTCTGTGGCCTTTTCTATTGATGACTCTCTTTAAAGTTAGAAAACTGTGGCGCGATGCACAGTCTACAAACTATAGACAATTCTCACACCAACTTAGGTATAAAAATGCAAACTCTACAAATAAAACTATACTTAGGGCATTACGCTAGCACTTTCTAAATTTTGTTAATTTCTGGAAAATTTAGGATTGATCCAATTTTCCTGCTATAAGTAATGAAAAATTTATTTATCAACCAAATTTTATTTCTTTTGTTAACATGAAAGAAACGTCTATTGATTGATGTTGGCTCTTTCAATAATCTCTCACTTCCCTAGCATAGTAATCCTATGAGATGCATCTTTTAACAGGCAAATTCTTTTTAATTTGTTTTTTTTTTTCCGAGCATATGAATAACTGCAGGTGCTAGGGCAAGAGATAGAAATAGGTTCATACATTTTTAAAAATTCCTACCCTTTAATAACAAACATGTTATTTCAGACTTTTTTACATATCAATCTAAATGATTATTTCCTAAGATTAGCAGATAATATCAACGACAGATAAATAAAGGGAAGATTTCTACTACACAAATGTCAAGCTGTTGCGACGAGGAATTTCAGCATTATTTTTAGTGTGGGTATTTTAGTTGAATTGTTGGGGTGGAGAAAGATCGTTCTATTTTATTAAAATATTTTGGTTCTTTTGACCAATGAGGCAAATCCCGAACTCACTTCATTTCACTCAATTTTTAAAGTTGTTGTCAATTTTTTTTTAACGTGATTTCTATTTCACTTTTTTATTCGTGAATATATAGCTACATATCTTATTCATTAAAACGCACCATATATGTTGCTTTTAAACATAAAAAAGTGTAAATTATTATGATTTAGAAATTTTCTATTTGAAATATACATATACTTTTCTTCTCATTAAACATAAGCTTTAGAACACCAGGCTCTTCTAGTAGTGGTGACGTTTTATAAGATCCTTGTGCTCGAGAGCCTATGTGAAGTAAAATTCAATAACGAATCCATTGCTGTTCACGAATTTTTGTCAAATTTTGATTCATACGTTATATTAAGTTAATCTTTATAAAACTCTTGCTACTATTTAAAAAAGATTTTAAAAGATTTATACTGGCCGAAGTATCTTTTTTCAAGAAATATGAATGCCGGCCAGGCAGCCTCTATCTTCACGATATTTAAAAAAGTTAAATCCTTTCGAAATAAATTTATTTCTAAAAATAACTTATTACGAAATTATATTTATGTGCGTATATCAGACGTGCATATTATTATCGTATCTCAGACGTATATAACATCGGTAAATATGCTTATATAGCAGTCGAGAATTCGAACCATATATATAAAGGCATATATATAACACTAACAGACATGTATATGGTTTAGAAAGAGCAAGGAGGCTGCAATCCTTCGGCGGCCCAGATATTAATGGCAAGGAGGGGAGTATCCATCTTGAGGGAGACATAAAAAGGGTGTCATCATACCGAGGAAACTTGAAACAAGCGCCGATAAATCATTTTAAGAGCTCGGCCCGCAATCCGAGCTGCTTGCATTAGCCCTCATCGGGCGGACATTAGTTTCTAATAGGTAATAAGAGAATCCAAAACAATACTCCAAAAAGCCGGACAAAAAGATTTCCTCCAGTCGAGCACCAATCCAGTGGGAGAAGTGGAGATCCATTTCTTTTGTAATTCGGCCAGAGCACGTGGCCATTGTGAGGCGGGGGGATGGGATTAAAAAACGAGGTTTCAATGGCAGGTAATCTATTTTTTAACGTCGCCTAATTTGACTTAAAGTGTTCTTTAGTTTAAAGTACTCTTTTTCTTCTTCCGATTCCTTTCTTTGTTGTTTTAAACATTTGACATGAATATCAAGAGAGGAGCTTTTTCTCCAACAATGACATAATTGCACTTTGGAATTCTTCAATGTTTTATCTTTTTATATAGCGTAGAGTCAATGAAAAAAAAAAAGAAACGAATAGAAAAAAGTTTATGAAAGAAAATTTTCTGCTCATATTTTTATGTCGCGATTAAAATTGAAAGAGAATATTTTGGATACATTTTATTGGGAAAAGTTTTTTTTCTATAAATATGAATTATTTTTAAATTTTGGTTCTGAAGAGATTTACACGAAACAAAATTTTCAATCAACTGGTACGATTGTACTGGTTCAAATCTTGATGAAATGACACTTAAACGTATATGTTTGGCGCAGTGTATTATATATGATTAAAAAGGGAAACGATGTAGAGGTAACTGCACTAGAAAATACAATATGAAATTATACATCAAAATAGTGAAGATCATTATGCATGTTGGAATATGCTAATTATAGATGATCAATCTTCTATGACCATACTGCCTCATGAGCACCGGTTCTTGTCCAATCACTGAACTGAAGCAATGTCAAGTTCGGGTAGTACTTGTGAGTGGACACTAAGTAACACTAGGCTCTTCCTTTGTTTACAATCCTTTATGTGTTTCTAGGAACTATTATAATGTGTTAGAATCTAAACCTCATTATGTGAAACTGTCTTACTTGATTGCGAAATTACTTTCCATAATGGCGCTATACATATGTGTGTGGGGCGATAATAGAACCCACCTTTGAAAAGTTTTTTCATGTCTGGATTTTAAACAATCTGTTGTCATTCTTTCAGAGAATTATTTTAGCCCTTTCAAAGAATATTTATAGTTGTGGGAAAACTATAAGAACGACCAAAACTTGTTTGAACATTGAAAATGAAAATTGAAATGCTGTGTGTAATAATATTCATTATATAACATAGATATATTTGGTCTCGCCTGGGGCAAGTCGCTCATTGAAAGTTGTATTATATCAGATTGAGTCATTTTTTTATTTTTACGAAGATGGTATTTCATTGGAAATTAGATTCTATTAGGTCAAGCTATTTTTTATTTTTCAAAGGTGGGTGCTCACCAGGTGATAATTCCATGATATATTTTATTGTTTGATCTCTTATTAAAATAAAGTGGCTAGACATTGATGACGATACAAAGGGCACTGTGGTGTCTGGATCTCAGAAGCGAGGATTGAGCTGACGCTGAGGGCGTCGAGAAGTTCCAACATGATCGCCGCTTATTGCCATCCATCACGCCGCTCGCTCTTTCCTTGCATTCCTAATCATCACGTGACACCATCAATCCAACGCTGCATCACTTCCCTCCGGGATCCAACGGATCACACATAAATGCGCCATAAATCATATGCCATCGTAATTCAATTTACATCCTAAATACTCTTTGTGTCCTCCTTCTCTTCCATGAGTTATATAAATATATCTATACACATATTACACATCTTTCTAAGCTCGTTTTTATATAGGATTTCTGCTCAAATATTATGTATAGTTTTGATATATTTTCTCCTTAGATATATTGATAGATAAAACTTTTACCATAAAATTAATATAAAATATGTATATATGGATCCCAAAAAAGAGAGACTCCTCTCCATTTAAATATGCCTTAAAACAATGCATTATGTTTATCACCCCAGTAAAAAGACTGAAAGGCGGTGAGAAGAGAGAGATAAAAAAAAAAAGACCAACAAGGTATGTTTAGTGATTTTTTAAATATTTCATCAACATTCTAACTTTTATTAAATAAACGATAAATATGAACATTCGTATTGATTCATAAAAATTCATTTTGAAGAAGGTCTTATACATGTATATTAACATTTTATGTTATTATAATAAGAAAAATATTAGGGAATATTCACAATATATGAATATGATTATCTCATAACAATCGTCCCATTATAGTTGTGTGATTATAAGATGGTGGATATTTTATCTCGTTTTATTAATGCTTTAGTTTTAGTTAGAATATAATTTTTATAATGTCTAACAATATAAAGACATAATCAAAACAATACAGAATCCCTTCAAAGATGGCTGTAGTTGGTTTACGACGGTTTATACTCCTATCGTATTTGCCCAGGTGTGTTAGAGAGTTGGAAAATGCTGACATGGCTAGAGAAGTGTGACTAGCACTTCCTACATAGCAATAGAAGTGGAAGGCAGTCCAAGCGGTCAAATAGGCCGAATGGATAGCACAGCTTTCTGGTAGGACAGGTTTAGGACAGGCTTAACTATAGTTATAAGAATTTAGCCAATACGGCAAGTTTTGAAACATGTCAAATTAATTTTATTCAAGCAGATCATGATTTCGCCACCTAATCATGTTTTTAATCAACAATTTTTTTGAGTTTATAAACGTATTTCTTCACTTGTGGGAAGCTATGAAGATAATATAAGATTGAATAGGAGGACCAGAGCGATGGCGCCGCGTTTGACAGGTTCCAATACAACACGTCGTTTAGATCGCATATATTATATTCCCATATATTGCAGGAATCCACTTAAGAAACGTTTCCTTGTGAGGACATAAGGTGAATGCAATAAAACCACAATATTGCCATAATTATTATATTTTTTCATCGCAGTATAAGGACAGTAGAAGTTTTTGATTGATGTGTCAAAGAAAGATTCGCGTCTTAATGATTTCATTTTCTATATATAGATGGCGCATTGTTGCTTTGTGATAATTATTATATGCAAAACGTGGTTTGAAATAACATAAATAAAATTTTCGTAAAAAATAGCTTATCATCAAAAACAGGGTTTATGGTATCTTTAATGAAGCCGCTAACATATTTCCATAACACTATTGTATAAGATTGGAATAAACAACACGCAACAGCGAATAAAGATACTTTAAATCCTGTTCCTTTATTTTTTCGTGACGTACTATGTGTGTGCAATAAACCCACATATCATGTTATGGTTTATATAATATTTATTAATGGATTGTGAAATTTTATTCCTTATTTATATTAGTTGATATTTAATAACGATATATTTTTAAATATGGTTGTGTCAAAAGAACTATATTTCTTTTGAAGAAGATTTCTATTTAAATAAAATGCATTTGTGAACTTTTGACTCCGGAAGCCATTACCGCGTCCTGTCAAAGGCAACTCCCGCCGTCTGTAGGGGATGTTTGCTCGCCGCTTAGATTGGTACTCATGCTTCCGGTTCAAGTTGCAACACTCTCTCATGTTGTTTTATCACATATATCAAACTTTTATGATACCTTTACATGCATTTTAGACACATAAACTATGTATTAAATGCGCATTTACTTGCAAATTTGCATTAAAGCTAATATATATATATATACATTCTTTTAAATGATTAAAAAATAGGTGACCGTGATAGATTGGGAGGATATGTAAGGAAGAAAGGGCCGCGGTAAAGAAACAAAATGGGAATTGAAGAGTGTGTGAACCAACCGGAATGGGGAGTGTATGGCCGTCCCATTAGCATGAAAGATGAGCTGCAGGTAGCGCTGTCCTAATGACGTCTGACCTCCAGGGACACACTCTCCATCACGGACGGCAGCGAGGAAGTAAACTTATCCATCACCGACAGCCTCCTGATGGAGGAGGACAGGGCACAAAGTTACGCTGGTCAATTCTATCCAAAAGATCCTAATAGATACATCATACCAATCGTAATAATCATTTTTAATATTTAATGAGTAGGTAAAATAGATTTGTATAAAATTACTGAGAGAGAGAAAAACAATACGTTTACAATTCAATTAAATAATCCCATGTATAAATATTTCTAGGTGAAAAACGCCTCTCTTTATTGGGGCTTTTCTTAGATTTAAACTAAATCACGTGGGCATGTGATCCAACTCACGCTATACAAGACCAAAGCAAAATACCATCTATATGTGTACATACATGTCTAATTGAAATTATTTCCAATATTCCTGTAGAAGGGCTGCTTGCGCCCGAAAGCTCGAATTGATTTTACAAATAAAGAAACTTATCCTTATTGATTCTATACGTTATTATAATATATTGAAAGGATTAATCGTCTTAAAAAATATATTGAGTAAAAATATCAGGCCTCCAGGGAATAGTATATTTTCAAAGACATTTTTATTCTCTAGTTTTCGGGCACGAACGCCCTTCTACAGGAGCCATGTTTTCTCCTGTAGAAGGGCATCCGTGCCCGAAAGTTAGAGAATAAAAATGTTTTTGAAAATATACTTTTCCCTGGAGGCCTGATATTTTTACTCAACAATAAGTTTATTTTATTTTGCTCTAAAATCAGGTAAGTTTCGAGCGAAGGCTCTTTGATAGGTTTAACAATAAATACGAAACACTATTGAAGCTGATAATCTATAGGCATTATTATAAATTGACAGTAAATATATGGACATTTTGAGAAAACATGATTCATGAGTCATTGAGATATATCGAATGAATAATAAAAATAATAAAAAATAATTAATTTGCTATTAGAGCTAAAATACATGAAGCGCCAAACATAGAATTTTCCTTAATAAGTCAACGCTATGTCTAATGTTTCTCTTTAGGCATCTGACACACACTTGTTTAAAACTCACGGAGAAAACTTAAGGAAGTGAAAAGTATTTGATGTCGTATGCTTTTTTTGACACATTTTGTTCAAACTTGGTTATCTCGTGCGACTTCAATAAAGGTCACTGTGTATCAAATATCTCTTATATTTATTGTCTGAATCCCGATATTCATGCTGAAAGGTAAAACTTCTTTAAGCTTTGTCTATGAGCGTATAACAGAAGACTTATTATGCTCTAATGTTCTATTTCATTTGAAAAGGATCCCTTCATAACAAAGTATAACCTGGTAATTTTTTTTATGCTAAAGCCGTTCAGAATATTAAAAGAAAGATTGTTGTTCAAAATGTGTTATGCGGAGATAAAATTCAATAGAGTTAGGGTGTCTTATTGTGTTCATTGTTCCTGACCTCAGGGGGAATAAAAATTTCAGCCTCAAATATATTTCACAGAAACAAGTAAAATATTTGCAAGCTTCTCTCTGACTGAGCTTTCTCTGCAGAAAAGCTGAGAGCTAAAAATGAAAAATGAGAGGACATACACGAAGTGTTTGTTATGCCTCTTCATAGATCGTCTTTAGCTGATTGTCTGTTGATTGTTTATACTTTCTATCTTTCTTTGCTCTTTCTCCGATTGCTGGAAAATTCTATGCGAGACGAAATTTCTTTAAAAATGCTTTAATCTTTATTGTTTTTCTTTATATTCTGAAAGATATATATATTCCCCCCAATGTATGGAGAATGAAATAATGCATTATAATATGTATTATAGATATATCATCTTAAACAATGAATCATGTTAACACCCCTGAAAATAGTTTTAAATAAAAGGACAAAGTTTCAATATATTAAAAAAAAATATATATATATATATATATAGGCAAATATATATATTAAAAATAAAGAAAGCATATATACAGTGGACCCTCGGTTTGCGAGCATAATCCGTTCCAGAGCCATGCTCGTACTCCAAAACGCTCGTAGTGCGAAACTAATTTCTTATTTTTAATAATTGAAACTCGGGCAATTCTTCTTGCTACGAACAATTGCACAGTTTCCCACATTTTACATATTTACCGAATCTGATCTG